GTATATACGTAGATGATTACATACACATATATGTGTATATATACATACGTATGCATACACATGTACATGTGCATTGACAGTTACATTTACACTTACAGTTCCACATACATACAGTTGTACTGTATATGTATACATACATATACATTTGTGTATATATATATACACACATATACATATATATATATATATATATATATATATGTATATATATACACATACATACATACACACCTATGTATAAGCAGAGAGAGAGAGAGAGAGAGAGAGAGAGAGAGAGAAATGTCCCCTCCCCAGGGCTCCGCCCATTCCGCGACCACTGTTGGCACATCCCTGGTACCACCCTCCTGGGCGCCCAAGCGATCCCGAGAGAGCCTGGAGACGCCCCCGAGACAGCCCAAGAGTGCGGGCCCCCCGACGGCTCTGGCAGCCCCCAGGAGCACTCAAGATCGCCCCATGGAGGCTTCCAAGAGCCCCCGAGGCGCTCCAGGAAGCCCCTCGGGAGGCCAACATCGTTGAAAGGCCCGTGGGGCAGCACCGATTGCCTGGTTTCTCGCACCGCCCGCCTCCGACACCGCCCCGAGGTTCGAGCACGGCCCCCGCGCGGCGCGCAGTAGCCCCGAGCGGCCCCACGAGGCTCCCGGAGGGGAGCCACCGAGGCCCCCGGAGGCGCTCCGACCGGGCCCCGACGAGCACCCGGGAGCCGCCCCGGAGACACCCAGCGCCGAGGGCCCCGAGAGGCCCTCGGGAGCTTCCAGGAGGCCCCCAGGGGAGCTCCCGGGAGGCCCCCCCCCCCCCGGGAGGCGTCCCGAAGTGGCTCGCGCGGGCATGCGCAGGCCTCGGAGGCGCAGTGGAGGCGAGCGTGCGAGAGCACAAAGCCCAGGTGTGGGGGACAATAAACACAAAAAAACACGAACACACACACACACACTCACACTCACACTCACACACACACACACACACAAAAAAAAAAACAAACAACACAACAAACAAAAACACACACAGAAAAACAACAACAAAACAACACAACAAACAAAACAAACAAAAATAAAAGATAAAAAAGGTCTGGCAGTACAAGGCGTTCCTTTGCATGCACTTCGCCTTCGGCACCGCCTGATTCCGGGGCTTTGCCCTCTCTTGGCCTTGACGTGAGGCCCCTCCTTCTGCCTTCCCCCCTCTTTGTCAATTACAGCTGTGCGCGGCCCGCTTAGCTTCGACCGGAAGAGGCTCGCTCTCGACCCGCGGATCAAACAGTTATCAGGTCTGGCAGTGATGAGGGGCGCTCTCGAGGGCTTCCCCAGAGCTCTTGGGGGACTCCTGGAGGTCTCTTGAGGCGATGGTGTGTGCTCTTGGGGGCCTCCAGAACCAACATTCAAATGGGGATTCCCTCAAATAATTTGTTCCTCTAGTTCGACCCTCCCTCCGTTCTCTCCTGTCCCAGGCTTTGGCGTGCCCCCGAGTGCGTTTCCGTTTCCCCCATCCCTCGCAGTCCGTTGATTTTTCTTTTCTGTTTTTGGTTATCCTCCATCTCCCGTGTCACATCTTTCTCTTTCCTCTCCTCCCTCCTCCCCGTTGCGTCAGTTTCCCGTCTCTCCTTCGCGCCGTCCTCTCTCCGCCTCCCTCATGCGTTTCCGTCTCCCGCATCTTTCATCCTCATGACTCCTTCATTCCTTCCTCCCTGCGCCTCCCTCACCCAGCATGAGAAAAAGGTATTTCCTCTAATATTTGTTTGGGGGGTCTAGCCCCCCCTCCGCCCCATCCTGTCCCAGGCTTTGGCATGCCCCCGATTGCGTTCCTGGTTTCCCCATCTCTCGCCGTCCGTTATCCATGATCTTTCTCTCTGTCTCTCTCTCTCTCTCTCTTTCTTGCTCTTGGTTCTCCTCCGTCTCCCGTTCCGCATTCGTTTTTTTCTCTTTTCTTTCCTCCCCGCTGCCTCATTGTCCTTTCCTCTTCCTCGTCTCTCCTTCACGTCTTCCTCTTTCCGCCTCCATCATGTTTTCCGTGTCTCCTCGTTTCTTCTTCATTATTGGTTTGTCTATGATTTTGGGCGTTCAGGTGTTTCCTTGGAGCTCTTGGGGGGCTCTTAGACGCCTCATTGAGCGATCTTGGGTGCTATCAGGGGCCTGCAGAGCCAATCTGAAAAATGGAATTCCCTCAATCCTTGTTTTTCAAGGTCGACCCCCTCCCCTATCCGTCCCCTCCTGTCCCAGGCTTTGGCGAGCCCCCGAGTGCGTTTCCGCTTTCCCTATCCCTCGCTGTCCGTTCTCTTTGATTTCTCGTCCCTGCTCTTGCTGATCCTGCGTCTCCCGTTCCACCGCTGCGTCATTTTTCCGCTCCTCTCTCCTTCTCGTCTCTCCTTCACGCCTTCCTCTCTCCGCACCCCTCCCGCTTTTTCGGCTTTCCAACGCTCCAGGACGGTCCAAGAGGTCCCTAAGACAGAACCATGACAGCCCAAGCGGCGACGGCCCGAAGACGACCCAAGAGAGCGCCAAGACGGCCTCAAGAGTCCGCCGAGACGGCCCAGAAGGCCCTCAAGACGGCCCCAGGACGGGCAAGAGCGGAGATCCAAACCAGCACTTCGAACCCCAGGGAGGCCCCCGAGGCGCCCTACGTGACGTCAAGGAGCCTCACTCAGCGACTCCTGAGGCGTCCCTGACAAGGTCGCTCCCATATGGTGATCCTTGCGAGACGATATCCATCCTCATCCGATCTTGTGAGGTTGGCTTGGACTGCGCTAGAAACGGATCGCGCGCGCGAAGCACGCGCGTGGTTCCAGCATTTATTGATGTATCTGTATGATAGCGAGAGCGAGAGAGAGAGAGAGAGAGGCAGAGTGAGAGAGAGAGAGGACGAGCGAGAGTGAGAGAGAGAGAGAGAGACACAGGGGGAGAGAGCGAGAGAGAGAGAGAGATAACACAAGCAACAAACATTGGGAGGGAGAGAGATAGAGGGAGAGAAAGAGAGAGAGAGGGAGAAGGACATGTATACATACGTAGTGCCAGAGAGAGAGAGATGACGTAGATAAGCTGGTGAGTATCCAGAGCGCAGAGTGGTTGGAGAGTGCCTCCATTCCTGATATGATCATCTTCGTCAGCACCATCGTGGCCCATGCGTATCCATATCGCCGCCTGGTGTGCGGCGGCCTGTATATTCACCCAGGGTGTGCTGAGTGTGCGCACTCTAGCGGCCTGCTGCACTTTGGTAGACTGGGCATCGTCGTTCTTGAATTCGGACGCCCTCGCTGTGCACGACTCTTTCTGAGTTCGAAGCGCATCATCAGCGTCATCTGCCAGCCTATCGCAAGTTAGGCCACAGAAGTCCTCGGCGGGCAATCAGAGAGGTTACTACTCCAGTCGTCTAATGAATGTCGTGATCTAGAGGCCTGTGGCCTTATCCCGCCACCGTGCCTGTGTCGTGGACGAGGTCCGTGGATTTTTGGGGCCATCTAGGGGCCTCATCTGGATCTTCTTGAAGGCCTCTCTGGAGACTCTCTGGGGCCTCTTTGGCGGCGTCTTGGGGGGCCTCTTGGGGGCCTGGGGGCCATCCTGCAGCGTACACAGTGGAGATGGGGGGATGTAGAAGTGAGATGGACTGCCCCCCTCCAGAAAAACAGAGTTTTGTTTCCCGCTCGTGTCGCGCGCGCGGGCCCAAGCGATGTTGCGTGGGATTCCCCCCACGATCTGCCAAGATAATTACCCCCCTGCCGCCTCCCTTGCCCGTGACCGGCGGCGAGCGAGGGGGGAAGTGAGAAGGAGAAGGCCCTCTCAGAAGGCGGCGGGACTTCTCAGAAACCCTCGCGCCTTCTGCGAAGTTTCCTGTGTCTTGGGGGAAGGCTCAGGAATCTTCTCAGAATGCCCGAGGCCTTCCGAGCCTTCTGAGAAAGCCCGCCCCTTTCACTTCCCCCCAGACTCGCCGCCGACATCTAGGAGTGCAGGAGTGGAGTGCTCCAACTGTTAGTTCGAGTTCCTATAAGAGGGGCATCTTCGGTGCTCGCTTGGGCGGGTCTTGCGGGCTTCTTAGGTCGTCGTGGGCGTTTTCGGACAGATTTATTGTTCATGGGCTTGGCATTCCAGGCCAGCCTAAAAGACTTCCAAAGGGCTCCAAAAGGCCTCCACGAGAGCTTCACCGGGTGCCTCTGATACCACCTTCGAGCCTCCTCTCGCGCACGTCTCCCTCTGTCCCCTCTCCCCTCCCCCCCAACTCTTACCGTCACGGCCATGCAGGCTGCCATAATCAGGAGGGGAAGAAACACACAGACACAGTTAATCGTCGGCTCCCAGGAAAATATGGGAAAATATGGGAAGTGGGGAGGAAGCCGAAAACCTAGAAAATATGGGGAAATATTTGGGATCCTGTTATGTGTGTGTATTTATTTGTGTGTCCCTGGGCCCCTTGACATGAGTGGACCGATATCCCCTCAAAGGACATTTGCGGTAGCCCGAAGCGGTCTGTCCGCTGGCTAGGCCGTCGTTTCTGGCAGCGGGCTTCGCTTGTCGCCTGAGACCGTGGCGCGCCAGCCCAGGCTCGGGTGGCCAGCGTCAGGAAGAAGAGGGGGATGAGGAGGAGGAGGGCAGGCTTCACACCCAATGTCCGACCAACGCAAAGAGAGGAGGAGGACGAGGAGGAGGAGGAGGAGGAAGGGGGTGGAGAGGCAGAGGGAGGGGGACAAGGGGGAGGAGGGGGAGGAGGAGGCTAGCCTCGCTCCATCACTCCTCCACTGAGATCCGACCTCGCGACAACGGCAAAAATACCGTGAGGAGTCACAACCAGAGCCCTAGATCCCATCCTTCTGCGGCACGCTTCGGGCCAGATCGATCTGTGAGGTGTGAGGGTCCCGGCGCCCGAAGAAGGGCGAAAACGCCTGGCGCGGAAAAAAAATGCGACGCCGTGATCTTCGGGGACGGGGAGGAGGCTAGCCTCGTTCCATGACTCCTCTCGCCCCCCCGTGGGAGCGCAGGAGGAGTGGAGCCCCCCCCCCCCCTCCGGCCCCCGCCCCGCCCCAGGAGTCCCCCGCGGGCAGCGGGCTGGACGCGGAGCCCCGGCACCCGCGGGGCCGCGGGGGTCCGCATCCCTGCCTCCGCCCGCTGCCTCCGTTCGAGGGGGAAAAACAGCACAGCACAGCAGAAGCGAAGGATATGACATTTCACGGTGGGTTCGCATCGTGTCGACCAGCGGCACGCCGCCGAACAAGACTCGGCCGATGTTGACAGTTCTGACGTTTCGGAAACGGTCGATCGCTCAAGGTTGAACGATCCCCACGGTGTCAGAAGCCCACGCCGAAGTCGGCACGACAATGACCTGCCGTGTCTCCATCATCATGCGCACCACCGCCTCCACAATGGGGACTGAAGCAGAAATTGTCTAAGATCCGCGCGGATTTCTTGGATCCGCGCTTGAGGCCGCCTGGCGGCGCCTCCGGCGCCGCGCCTGCCCCACTCCGCGCCAGAGAGAGGAGAGCATGTTACGCATGGAATGACTTGAGTAGAAGATGAAGCGTTGGATCCGTGAGCGGATCAGCCTAGGCAGTCTGATGATCAGAGGGGCTTTGATGCCTCTGTTGGTCTTCGGTCGGCTATGATGCCTTCCTGTGTCCGCCGATCCCATAAATCCACGCGGACCTCCACACATTTTTCCGCGCTTGGCGTTTTTGCCCCGTTTCGGGCCCCGCGACCATCACAGAACGATGCGGCTCAAGGAATGCCGCCGAACGATGGGGTCCAGGGCTCGGGTTGTGTTTGTTCGCGATGTTGCAATCTTTTCGCACCGTCGGATCTCAGGGTTCCTGCGCCTGCGTTCGAGGAGCCTGCCTCCTGATCCTGCGGCGAGGCCCAGACATCCCCGCGTCGTGAGAACGTCATGAGGCGCCTGGGCACTTCTTGGTTTCTGGAGACTCACAAAGACAGCTCAGGAGGAACCACCAGCCCCCCGGAGGGGTGTCCAGACCTCTGGGGTGCCACGTTGTGAAATGATCACGACGCTGCACGGCTGGGGAGCAGGCGTCACGGGGGAGGGGGAGGGGGAGGGGGAGGGCGGGGCAAGGACTAGAATAACTCATTCCAGAGTGTTCTGGAAAGCTCTCAGAGCGTTTTGGAACGCTCTGAGAAGGCCGCGGCGCCCGAGAGATCCTCCAGATCCGCGGGCTCTCAGAGAATCTCGATCTATCCGTACCCAGTGTTCTCCCCGTCCTGGCTTCGTCGCCGGCGCCGTCTGGGAGCCACGTGCCCCCAGCCAGTCTGGCAGACGGCGCCGGCGCGGAGCGCGGCGTCAGCCTTGGGGGAGTGGGGGTGGGGGACGGCCCTGGTGACGGGCGCGATTGCGAAGCGTTGCAAAGCAAGAGCGAGAATATTGTTCGAAGAAAAATCTATCTACACATAAACTGTTGGCACTCCGCGCGGATTTCTTGGATCTGCGCTGACCCGAAGGCCCAAACTTCCCCTCGATTTCCAAAACCACATGTGGAACCCGCACAGTGGGGACCCATGCCAAGAAGCACCTTGCTTGCCTCTAGGGTGCCCTGGGTTTCTTGGGTTTCGATGTTTTTGCGATGGGAAGCGTGACGTTCCCACACCAAAGATCCATGGACGTCCTGGTGTCTCAGGGTTGGGTTTCTTGTGGAAGGTTTCTTGCGGTCGGTTCCCTACTGTACCCCCCAACCCGAAACTGGGTCTTCGGGTCAGGCTGGGGTGGTCTGGGAAATAGTCAACTTACGTTTGTATCCCAGGGCCCGCTTCGCTATGGGCGGCGCGCGTCAGGGAGGGGGGGGCCCTCACCGGCCCGGCAGCTCTGCGCGGACCTCGGGCAGTGCACCCCCAAGAAAGAGGTGCTGTGGGAGAGGGCCCCAGACTTACAGGTGCCCACGCCTCCAGCAGGCGCCCGTCCTCCCCTTTTGCTGCGCCTCCTGGGAGGCCCTCGTCGCCACCGCTGGCTTCGCCGCGAAATCCGGGTACGAACGCACCCCGAGAGAGGTCCGGGGATCAAGGGCAACGATAGGAGGGGATAGGCTGCAGGGGGGGATGCATCGACCCCCAATCGCCCATTGATCGCCGATAGGGGCCCGATAGCCTTAACCTGCCCGGGAAGGTGCGGATTCACTATCGGAGGCCCATCGCCGATCTATCGACGATGTATCGCCGATTTCAGGTCGATGCATCCCCCCCTATACCCATCCCCCCCTATCGTTGCCCCTCAGGGGAGCAGCGGCATCGGCACCTCTTGGCTTCCCCGAGGGTGCCTCGCGTGCGCCGTGCTCGGGGTCCCCGGGGCCCCTCCCGGGGCCCCGGGGGCCTGCAGCAGAGGCGGCCCGGAGGGGTGCCTCGGGGGGATTATAAGGCCGGCGTGCGCCTCTCTCGGGGCCCCATCCCCGCCCTCGCCTGCCAGGGGCCAGGGCCTCCCGCTTCGCTCCCGCCGCCCTCCTCCTGCGGCAGTGC